CATGGTCTTGATTTATTATATGACGTAGTGTGACGGTTTCCTGATGAAGAGCTTAGTAAGTGCTTTTCTAGTGGCCTTGCTCTTGGAATCTGAGCATGAAATACTTTGGAAAGGGCCTTGACTGCTGCCTGAGGCTGGTCACCAGGCACCAGGTAGGTGAAAACCATTTCAGGTTGAAGATCTTTAAGAGCAATGTCCCCATGACCCTCTTAGTTGCCTAGTCCCATATTTTATTTTCCTGGTGAAAAGGATGTTCCTCTTTTTGTTCCTTTTCAACAAATGTCACTCTCTTTTCATTAGGCTTTTACTCATGCCTGGGCTGGTGTTGGGTGGAGCTTGGGATAGAGATAACATGAAGTTATGTTTACTGCCTTTAGTGAGCCTAGAGTTTAGCACAGCTCCTCATAAAATTCCTTTAGAACCTTGAATATAATACTAGCATAACTTGCTTTTATTTATTTATTTATTTATTTTTAAAATATATTTTATTGATTTTTGTACAGAGAGGAAGAGAGAGGGATAGAGAGCTAGAAACATCAATGAGAGAGGGTCATCGATCAGCTGCCTCTTGCACACCCCCCACTGGTGATATGCCCGCAACCAAGGAACATGCCCTTGACCGGAATTGAACCCGGGGCCCTTCAGTCCCCAAGCCGATGCTCTATCCATTGAGCCAAACTGGTCTTGGCAAGCATAACTTGCTTTTAAAAAGAAAGTCAGCCCTGGATGATGGTTCTCAATGGTTAGAGCATCAGCTCACATCTCAAAGGGTTGTCGGTTCGATTCCCAGTCAAGGGCACTTAAATAGTTAGGTTGCAGGTTCTAACCCTGGTCATGGTCTGGGCGAATGTAGGAGGCAATCAATTGTGTCTTTTTCAAATCGCGCTCGCTCTCTTCTCTCATCTTTCTCAAATCCCACTCTCGCTCGTGTCTTTCTCAAATCTCGCTCTCGCTCCTGTCTTTCTCAAATCTCGCTCGTCTTTCTCAAATCTCGCTCGTGTCTTTCTCAAATCTCGCTCGTCGTTCTCAAATCTCGCTCGTCTTTCTCAAATCTCGCTCTCGCTCCTGCTCCTTCCTCAAATCTCGCTCGTCTTTCTCAAATCTCGCTCGTGTCTTTCTCAAATCTCGCTCTTTCTCAAATCTCGCTCGTCTTTCTCAAATCTCGCTCGCTATCTTTCTCAAATCTCGCTCTCGCTCCTGCTCCTTTCTCAAATCTCGCTCGTCTTTCTCAAATCTCGCTCGTGTCTTTCTCAAATCTCGCTGTCTTTCTCAAATCTCGCTGTCTTTCTCAAATCTCGCTCATATCTTTCTCAAATCTCGCTCTCGCTCCTGCTTCTTTCTCAAATCTCGCTCGTCTTTCTCAAATCTCGCTGTCTTTCTCAAATCTCGCTCGTGTCTTTCTCAAATCTCGCTGTCTTTCTCAAATCTCGCTCGTGTCTTTCTCAAATCTCGCTGTCTTTCTCAAATCTCGCTCATATCTTTCTCAAATCTCGCTCTCGCTCCTGCTCCTTTCTCAAATCTCGCTGTCTTTCTCAAATCTCGCTGTCTTTCTCAAATCTCGCTGTCTTTCTCAAATCTCGCTCGTCTTTCTCAAATCTCGCTCCTGTCTTTCTCAAATCTCGCTCCTGTCTTTCTCAAATCTCGCTCTTTCTCAAATCTCGCTCTTTCTCAAATCTCGCTCATTTTTTTCTCAAATCTCGTTCTTGCTCTCGCGTCTTTCTCAAATCTCACTCTCGCTCGTGTCTTTCTCAAATCTCGTTCTTGCTCCTGTATTTCTCAAATCTCGCTCACACTCGTGTCTTTCTCAAATGTCGCTCGTGCCTTTCTCATATCTTGCTCTCACTTCTGTCTTTCTCAAATCTCGCTCATGTTTTCCTCAAATCTCACTCTCGCTCGTCTTTCTCAAACCTCGCTCTTGGTTGTGTCTCAAATCTCGCTCTCGCTCCTGTCTTTCTCAAATCTTGCTCTTGCTCTCGCTCGTGTCTTTTTCAAATCTCGCTCGTGCCTTTCTCATATCTCGCTCTCTTAACCTCTTCTTCGCTCTCGCTCTCTCTCCTCCCTCTTTTCCTTCCTTCCACTCTTTCTAAAAATCTATGGAAAAAATATCCTCTGGTGAGAATTAACAAAGAAAAAAATGATAAAGTCAGTTATGAAGATTAGATTTGACAGAAAGATAAACTGGGCTTGAGTCTCCACTTTAAAAAGAAATCTAAGGGCTCAGCTAAATGGAATTTAAAGTAGGATTTAGTTTACTCAAACCTTCATCAGAAATACACTTAATTGCAAAGAGAAAGGTGTGTCTGTAAGGAATCTATTCTCAGCCTCCTCAGTGAGCCTCTTGTTTAATTCTCATATCTCAGGCCCTATTCTGGCCAACTTCCAGCTGCCCCCTCCCCTTTCCTGCCCCAGGAGGCCTTGAATCCGGAAAGGAGAGGGGAGCAAGGAGTAGGGAAGAGGCTGTTAGGAGGAGGGAGGAGGAAAAAAGAGAGGAAATGGCAAAGCAGGGGAAGGAAGGATAAAGAGAGGCTAAAGGAAAGATAGCAACGGAGCCCCAATTCCCCTGGGACCCATTTTACATTGCTTTGATCATGTTTTGAAGGATGGACTCAGGAAGTACAATTATAGCCAGCTCTCAATCACTGCTGTTAGGAGGGAAGTCCTTTATTTAGTTATAACATGAATAATTAAACCTCCCAAATAATCCCCAAACCTCATTTAAGTTTCCTTTCCTCCACCAAACCTTTTAACGAAATGAGATTGATGCTAGCAAAGAAGGTAAAGGACTTGTGTGTGTTCACCCCTTCTCTTCCCTGTCTCCAGTCTGTCCATCTGTCTGATTTTAATCCTCAATTTAGAGAAACTACCCCGCCCCATACAGAAAGCAAGTGAGGAGGGGGCCTGCATCCATCTGACCCCTCTGGATCTAGCTCCATTCAGACTTCTTCTGCCAACACCCCCTTCCTCCCTCCCTCTCCTGGCCCTCAGCACTCCTGCACTGAGAGTCTAGAGAAAATATGTGCATGGGCAGGAATTGGCTGACACACCCCACAGGCAGTGCTATTCACTTATACTCTATCTTTTGCTCATGCATTCCTGTCAATTTTACTTTCTAAATTGCTCTTGAGTGTTCCTTGCTGTCTATTATCTCCAAAGCAACTTAATCCAGGATCTATTCTCTTTGGTCTGAACTCTTGCAGTGACCCCCTAGCTTCTTTCTAAACACTCAAATCAATTTTCCATGCTATATCCTCCAATGGATCCCAATTGTTTACAGAGTCAAGTCCAAAGGCATTTCTATGGCCAAGGAGCCCTCCATAATTTGACCTGCAACTACAACTCTGTTCTTACCACCTACCCCCTTGTATAACTGTAGAACCCCACCCGCACAATGCTTGGGAATATTTCCCAACTTCCACCCACTTTTAGTTTGTTTCCTAACTTCCTATTTATCCTTTAAGTCTCAGCTCCCACACCAGCTCCCCCTTGACACTGCACCCCCCAGCAACTCTGACTTTCAATTATTTGTGTTTCCAGTGTCCCCAGTACATCCACTGATTCCCCACCACACTTATCATACTACATTGCAATCATTTGTTCAGGTATCTGTCTTCCCTACTAGCTTGTGAACTCCACAGCAGTAGTCTCTATATTCCTAGCTCTTTTTGTTTTGAAAGAAAGAATAAATGATATTTTCACAATTGGAGGGCAGAGAACCAGAATGGTTATAGCAGAAATAGCACCAATTCTGCTCCTGCCTCAGGGCCTTTGCACTTGCTGTTCTCTCTGCTTGAAAAACTTTCCCCCCCAGGTATCTACCTGTGTTTCCCCGAAAATAAGACATCCTCCGAAAATAAGACCTAGCGCATGGAAAGATTAAGACATCCCCTGAAAATAAGACCTAGCACAACTTTGGGAGGAAAAATTAATATAAGACACTGTCTTATTTTCGGGTAAACAGGTTACTTGGATTTCCCTCTCACATTACTCAGGTCTCTACACAAATGTCTCCTCCTCAAAGAGGCCTTCCCTGGATATTCCATCTAGCACAGCACACACATTCCCCTCCTGTTACTATCTATCTGCCTTTCATGCTTCTTTTTTTTTTCAGTGCTCTGATTAATACTTGGCATGCTATACAGGGTGATGTAATAGTAGGTTTATAGTTGTGAGTACCCAAAACACGAAGTTTATTCTTCTATAAATATTTTTAAATTATTGTATTATTTTCTATATGAACAACTGTAAACCTACTTTTGCCCAACCCTATATATTCATCTTTATTGACTGATTTCCCTAATAAAATAGAAGCTCCAATAGGGCAAGGATTTTTGTTTTGTTTGCTGTTGAATATCCAGTGTCTACAATAGGCCCATGCACAGAGAAAGTATTCAATAATGACTTGTTAATCCTCACCCAAGGATATTTTTCCATTGATTATTAGAGAAAGGAAAAGACAGAGAAACATCAATGTGAGAGAAACACATCAATTGGTTGCTTCCTGCATGAGCCTCAACCAGGACCCGGGCCAGGGAGGACCCTGCAGCCAAGGTGCCTGCCCTTGACCTGAATCAAACCTGGGATTCTTTCGTCTGTAGGCTGGTACTCTATCCACTGAACCAAACTGGCTAGGGCAACTTGTTCAGTGTTATTCAATTTTTTTACTTAGAACTCTATTTGACCCTATCTCTATCATTTTCAACTTCTGTGTGACCTTGGGCTAGTTGTCTGTGTCATCTGAGCCTCACTCTAATCATCTGTAAAATGAGGATAACACTTCTACAGACATCATAGACAAGAATGAAATTACATAAAATATTTAAAAGCACTTGATATGCTTCCTGGCACAGAGAAGGCAGGTAACGTATCTGGGCTGAAATCTGGTAATTGATCAGTGTCTTCTACTTCTTTGATCCCTATGGCATGCCCTTCCCCCATCTTAGCCTTTCCATTATCCATTGTGATCAAACCAATATTTCCATGCCTGGAGGCTCCACTCTTACTTGCCACAGTTGTAGAGGTCACAGCAGAAGCAGGTGTTTCCCCGGATGCGAGGCGTGCAGAATCCACGGCTGAGGTGAGGGCAGTTCACCTGAGGGCACACAACAGTGAGGAAATGAGCTGGCATTGCATGGGAGGCAGGACCCTCTGGCATTTGAAATGTGAGTTAGCGACTGATGGAAATGGTAAAGATGGCTTTGAGATGAACACACCAATGCACGGGAAGGCTGGGCAGGGGACTGGCTGAACTGTGTATGAAGCAAATCACCGTGTAGCTGGGCTCAAATCCGGCCTCAGCCACGCCCTCAGTGCCCCATCCCTGAAAGGTGGAGATGAAGAGGAGGAAGGATGGATGGAAGAACAGACAGAAGAACAAATAGACAGTAGGAAATGAGGATATGAAAGGGGAAGGCAAGTCATGGTATAGAAAAGGGGACCAGATGGGAAGGAAGACAGAGGGACTGTCACATACAATGGTACCTCTCTAGCTGCCTGGGTAAGGTTCCTCATAACCCTCGTGGAAGGAGAATTTTTGGTTGAGGAACTTATGACCTTATATAGGAAAAATAGGGTTAGGGGGACCAGGATTATCAGTGAACCTATGGAAGTTATTAATTAACATTTTTACAGTCACCAAATTAACACAAAAAAGCAATGACAACACAGACAAGAACAAGAGCAATGACATTTTACCCATCTTGATTGGCAAATAATTTTAAAGATTGATTTCCATTTACTCTTGTTGGTAAGAAATTTTCCAGACTCTCCCACATATGGATAGATATATAGATGTAATAAAGTGCTTGTAAATTTGTTATGTTGTGTTATAGAGAATATTCCTAGTAAATGAGGATTCATTTTCATCCAAATGCTCACGGCCTTTCTGATAAGCATACATATTTCTATTCCTCCCTGCTAACCTGGGGATAGTTAGAAAAATGGCAAATTTGTAATTGGGGAAAGAAAAAGAAGGCAAGTGGGTTGCATGGCCATAAAAAAAAAGTATTTGCCCTGATGCCTTGGGATCAGGGCTATCACTTTGCCTAACTCCATAAAATATATAACTTCACATTATATTTTATGTAGAGTGGTTTCCCCTGAAGTTGTGCAATGCAGTGGTCAGTTTATATCCACTTGTCTCTCTTTCCTCCCAATCACACGTTTAAATTTGTTCTAACTATTGGGGGAGGAGGGAGGCAGGAGGGAGAATGACGTTCAATTTGGGTATTAACAGAGAACCAAAATGTCAAGGTTCCTAGAAGCACACGGTAGGGTTTCCTATGAAAGTGATCTCTGGGTTTGGGAAGGGCTATTATGTACTGAAATGGAAGCTCTCCAAAAATGACATGGAGTCGTGTTTCACCTTACTGTCCACCAACTCTAGTTCTGCATGAAAGGACATGAAATACAAGGAGAGCTGTATGGGTCAGTGGAGAGAGACTCTCATGTACCCAATTCAAACATTATCAGACTGGCCTCATGAAAGGGGCCAGGCTAACAGTCTGGTCCTCCTCAGAGCCTGCAAGGGAACTAGGCCTCTCAATTACCCTCATTTGACTTCCTGACTCCTCATGTGTGGGGGGATGCAGGATCTGTCCCCTAGTCTAGGCCTACTGCCTTGGTGGAGCTCCTGATTTTCTTCCAGCTTGGGTACCTGAACCACAGGCAACTGAACCATTATCCACAGAGATGGGGAAGGACCCTGCACTGTGGCCTCTGTACTCTTATATGTTTCTTTGGGGATCAAAGCTACAAACTGAGAGGCTGCCTGCAGGGGCAGAGGAACAGCCTGTGTCCATAGAACAAAGTAAATCTTATTAGGCCTCATGAGGCTCCAACCTATGAGCATAACCTTATTAGCACTGTGCTCTGATCCGAAGAGCAAATCAAATATAGATACCAAGCAGCCAGCCTTAGGCCCCTGGAAAGGAGTACCGTAAAAGAAAAAAAGTTTAGACAGAACAGAAGACTCCCAAAAGTTAAGACATATAGCCTCATTCTGGCTCACCTCCTCAGCTTCCTTCTGGGATGTCTTGGGGACATAGTGGCACCGGTTAGCGTAGAGTGGTTTCAGATCCTATAAATGGAAACATCAAACCAAAGAGATTTTGGCTTTAGAAACTAAAGCAGCAAGTGGTGTGATGAGTAATAAAAGATTTGAAAGCGCGCGCGTGTGCGCGCACACACACACACACAAACACACCTGAGAGAGTAGGCAGGGGGTTGAGTTAATTAATCTAAGAAGACTGAGAATGTGAAGATCAGATAAAAAATGTTCTAACAACTGCTTTCAATGGGACCATTTGGTTAATGGGAAATTAGGAAATTGATTGAGAAATGGGTTTCCTCAAATTTCCTCTCTCATTTTATTCCTACTCTTTTTCTCTTGCACAAACTTCACAGGGACTGAGCTTCAAAGCTCCAGGTTATTGCAATATCACACTCCTAAATGATGGGGAGGGGCTGAGATTGGACAGCATAGCTCTAACAATGAGATCTCATTATTGCCTGAGGACAGGACCAGTGCTGGCTGACATGTACTCCCTGTTGTCAGAGCCACAGCTTTTCCAGAAGGAAGAGCTCAGGAAGCAAGTCCCAAGGGATGGACAGCTACTGAGATTTTAACTTACCTGAAATATGAGCCATTTTCACAAATTAGATAAAGACAGAGAACTCCAAAAATATTGCAAAATCCCAGAAAACTAAAATGGGTTTTAAGAACAGTTGATTTACCCACTGGCTTGGCCAACTTCCTAGTAAGGAAGCTCTCAGGCACGGGATACAGGGGTTGGGGGTTTGCATAGAACAGATAGACACAATGCTGCCAGGAAGCTTGCAGGCAGGGAATGTTGTTCATTTTCAGAGTAACATTAAACATCCCCCGAGTGGTAGGGGGCTTGGGCCAAAAACAGGTTGGGATAGGACAATCAGTTTATGCAACCTGACCTTAAGGGTTTGGCCAAAGCACCCTGGCAATGGGAGTTTACTAACTGTTTCCCACCCTGTCCCCAGTTCTGTCAGCATTTCTGATTATCCTGGTGGCTGCTTTTTCCCACATATGTAATTTAGCATCTCCTGTTCCTGGCACCCAAGTGCCTCCTGTCTCCTAGCCTCCATACCAACAAGGACCTAGGACTTTCCATCAGCTGCTTTTACATAAACCTGGCTTCCCAATGTTCTAAAAGTACATTGTCCTATTACCTTAGCCTGGAGATGGGCTGGAAAGGAATGAGAATTCTCATGTTCAAACCCACCAGGGTTTATTTTCCATGTTTGGGTGATAGCAGAAATCATTATTATCCTGTGGAATGGGAGACTTGATGTGCTTATTAGTCACAGCACTCCTGACCTCCTGGTTCTGCAAAAAGCATTCAGCCACCAAATGCCCTAAATGAAAATGCACATATGCGATGGCTGCCCATTTGGTGTTTCTGGTTGTTATTCTACGTTGAGATCCCAGAGGAAGAACAAGCCTATACAATTGAGAGGTAAGGGAAGGTCACTCAGCCAGGGCTCAGCAACCTTTTTAATCTAAAGGATCACCATCTCTGGAGTGAAGAAATGGAAACAGACATTGCTTTGTGGTGAATATCTGCTCTTTGCCAAGCCCTGTTAGGGCATATACACACCCATGGCTTCATATTGTCCTCATACTTACCCTGACAGGTAAGTTATTATTATATCCATTTGGAGAGGGAGAAACTGTGGCACAGAAAAGTGATATGACTTTCCCATCTAGTTAATGGCTATATTTGGGGGAGGGAAACGGGAAGAATTAGGAGATGAGAGAGAAAAGGAATAAGAAACATTTATAGGTGTGTGTAGGAAAGTAGGTCTTGAGAAATTCATATGCCCCAAGCCAAAAGACAGGGCAAGATGACATTAAAGGGCTTCAAAAACAGGAAAAGCTGGCTTTAACCCATCCAAGCGATACTAGGGTCAAGATGTACCTTTAATTTAAACTGGCCAACAGATATCACTATAGATGAATAAAGCCTCATTCCTCAAAAGTCTCTGGGTGTCAATGAGGACTGGTAGATGTCTTAGGACAGGTACGGTGGAAACACAATGGTTTTTGTAAGGATCCATCCAGCCTTACCCAACCCCCTGAGTCAAATGCGCTACTTCAGGCCACTCTCTGTGGGAGGTACACAGAGCCTGGAGTCAAAGGCAGATAGGGGTCATTGGAGGAAACTTCTGGTAAATATAATTTGGATTTTTACCCATTGCTTTTGACTGAAGCCAGTAATAAAACATTAAATGTTTCTGGCAAAGGCACATCAAACCCACAATCAGATACCACTTCAAACCCACTAACCCACTAGGATGGCTATAATTAAAAAGTCAGATGATAACAAAAGTTGACAAGGGTGTGGAGAAACTGGAACACTCATACACTTGCAAGGAGGATGTAAAATGGCACAGCCACTTTGCGAAACTGTCTGGTTGTTTCTCAAAAGGTTAAATATAATTACCACGTGACTCAACAATTCCATTCATAGATATATAGCCAAGGGAAATAAAAACATATGTTCATACAGAAATTTGTAAATAAATGCTTATAGCAGCATTATTCATAATAGCCAAAAGGTAGAAACAACCTGAATGTCCATCAGCTGCACAAACTTTAGTATATCCACACAATGAAATATTATTAGGCCATAAAAGGAAATGAAGCACTGATACATGTTATAGCATGGATGAATCTCGAAAATATACTAAGTTAAATAAATCAGGTCACAAAATACCACATATTGTATGGTTACATTACTATGAGATGCTAATTAATATAGGAAAATCTGTAGCGAAAGAGATTAGTGGTTGCATAGAACTGGGAAGTAGGGGGATGGGGAAGTGACAGATAAAAGATATGGGTTTTCTTTTAGGGATGATGAAAATCTTTTAAAATTGATAGTTTTCACTAACTGTGAAGATATAAATTGTATACTGAATTGTATACTTTAAATGGGCGAATTATATGAGATGTGAACTACATCTCAATAAAGATGTTTTAAAAAAATCTGGAGTGAGAGGAGGGAAATGGAAGAAGCCATTTTAGCTCATGATACCATCAAAATCTACTGCAGGCTTCTTAGCCACAAGGCCTTGTTGCCATGGAGACCGCCATAGAGTGAATACTGTTTGTCAAGTGGGGATAATAATGTCTGCCCTACATACCCCACAGGATTGTTGTGGATCTCAAATGAAATAATAGATGTGAAGGCACAATGAAAAGCTATATGCACTATACAAAAATAAAGCATTATTGTTATCAAGATGGTTCCTATTGAACACACAATAGCATGCATATTATGACTAAGTGCAACCATGCTACAAAACAGGTATGTACTCTGAAGGTATGCAAAAGTGATAATAATGTGTATATGAGAGTGATAGGATGGTGGATAAGTTCCTGATGTGTCATTTGCCTTCTTAAGAAGAAAATGATAAAGAACAAGATGGCTGCTCTCAGCTCAAATCAGAAGGGATGGGTCTGATGTAAGTGCCTACATTTATATCCTGGCCCTGAAAGAAAACTGGGCGAAGGGCCTCTCTCTCCCACCTTTTTCTTTTACCCCTTTCCGGAAATTATTTCCAGAGATGACATTTCAGAGACTGCTTGGGTGGAAGCACTGACCATACGAATTCCTCTAATCTTGGCAAAGAAGAAATTAACTGTTATGTCTGGGAGGAGGGCCCAAGAACAAGTTGAAATTGAAATAATAATGTTTCAAATCATAATTTTCTATATCCAACCATACCGATGACACTCCCCAGGATGACCTGCACTATTATCCCATGACTGAAATGAACTTTACATATCATAGATCCACAGAAGATCTCAATAATACAATTTTACTCCAGTTCAATTGTTTTAGAAAAACAAAACAAACAAACAAAAAGTCAAACTAGTTCATGAGATGTTTTCATTTTTTATGTTGATTCAGTTGGAATCAAATGACTATTTGAGTTTGTTGTGAAGGTTCAGTTATTTTCTGTGGCTTGACTTTTGTTTGTGGGCCAGATCAGAACTACACTATGACTTCTTTGGGACTTAGATACTTTTGCCTTTGTGGGCCCCTTCCTTCTTCAAAAAATATTGAAAACTATATTTTATTTATTTTAATGGTATCTTATTTAATTGCTGTATATTCATATTATATGAAAACTTTCTTTTGACCTAAATGTACATCATTTTCTTCTGATTTGAAAATAAATAATATTTTTATGGGCCCCTGAAAATAGTGTGGATCATACACTTGTGCCTACCTCTTGTGCCTAATGGAGAAGTTGGCCCTAGGCCAGATGTCTAGAATAGTATGAAATAGAAATTGCTGAAAAAGGGAAATGGAGAAAGCCATTTTAGCTCATTATGCTATAGGAATGCTCTGAATCCTAGACTTCCCCAGAGAATAAGCACAGATTTGGGTTTCAGGAGTAAAATGGCCTTTTTCAAGGCACAGATTATCCAGAGTAGGAAGCATTTGGCATCTTAACACCAGGACTGGGCTCTGAATTGAGGCTTCTAGTTCCGGGGCTTTCCCTAGATCCCAATCACATCTCTACTCTCTAATAACTGCTGCAGTTGACAGCAAAGTTCAGGCATCCAAGAAAAAGTGGTCTTCTCTTGTTGCTATTGAAGGAGAGAGAGGACATCTATTGAAAACTTCAAGTCTCTCAGGAAGTTATGGGGCTTCCTGCTCTTCTCTGCCTACCTCATCTTTACTAACATCAGTTCCAAGCCATTCCCCTGGTCCCACTGTCCTGTCTTTGCCTTTACAAATCTCACCCACATGCCAAAGGCTTAACTCCAGCCCCAACACCAGTGAGAAGACTGCCCTGACCTCTGAAGTCCAAGATAAACCACTCTGGCACTTACAGTGTATATCCTCAGCCTAGACTCAGTTCTCTAGATGCCTGTGTATTCATGGGTGTCCTTATCTTGATTGTCAGCTCTTCGATGCAGGGATCCTATCTCCTCTCCTTTCTGTTCCCCTGAGGGCACTCAACACACATCCAGCACAGATTCAGTGAAGCCTCGCTGTAGAGCACACTTACTTTAAACCAGAGCTAAAAATACTCACAATGTGTCTGGCAGCAAAGACCCCATCGACTATGGCACAACAGAAGGCTGCAATCACACCAAAGCTGATAAAGACGATAGAAGCCACCAACTGTGAAGGGAACAAAACAAAAGTGTCTGTTAGTTTTCCACTCTTGCTGATTCTGGAGAATAGATGATCCCCAAGAGACTGCCAGACAAAGCAGAACTCTGGCTTGCCACTCCATGAGGATGCTCTTTGCAGCCATGCAGGATTAGTGGGAGCTGAGGCAGGGCAAGGCAGAGAAGGGGCCAATGAAGCACCATTTACATTTTCAGGGCAAATAAAGAAATTCACTCTGTGAGCACCAAAGAAGAGGCTTGCTGGTATCCAACATGCTGTCCATGGTAGAATTTGACCATATGACTCTTCCATTCTCAGATTCAGAAAAATTGACGTTGGGCCTTTGACATCATGTAATCCAACTCTCTAATTTATTGTGAAATTAGAGGCTCAAAGAGGGGAAGTGGTGTGTGTGCCCAGGATCACCATCTAGTCCACACAAGAGTCTGGTGCCCACTAACTCTTAGTCCAATGTTCTTCCCAAGCCCTCATAGTAGGCACTGATGAATACAGAGATGATTCTGAGGCCTTGCATAACCCTACATGGTCTTTTGCATCATTGAATAAAAAGAACATTCAACTTAATACTTAAATGTCAAAGACATTTTACAAAGGTTGAAGCCTCTGACACTGAAGCCTCCCTGTGGTGCATACGAAAAATTTTAAGTAAGAAAAATGTTTGCTTGAATTAGATTGCCCTATTCTCTGACCTAGTTAGACAACAGAAATATTCCTAATAATTTGTCTTCCATTACAAAGGTGGTAGGGAGTAGGTGTTTCCAGGGGCATGGATTGGTGCAGCCTGAGTCCACCATCTCCTGTTGACCCTCAGAACTAGATAGATTCAGCGGTTTTCTTCCTTGAGGTGTTTGGGGGATAGAGGGGGAAATAGCATGGCATTAAACAGCTCTCTAGGGAGAAGGAGGAATCAGAGCCAAGGCCACTCTGAATTTCTCCCACCTCAACAGGCTAGGGGGAAATGCTTATCTCCTTTGCGAGTTGTTGAGAAACCTCTCCCCATAAATCTCACTTCACAGCACTAAGGAGAATTGGTAAATAATGGATGAACAATGTCATGAAATTGGCATTATTAGCTATGCTATATCAACTCTACAACTAAAACTCCCCTATTATTTTGAATAATTTAGGTCCAAAGTGCCAACACAACTGGGAGGGGAGAGTCTAGATGAAATGGAAAACAAAAACTATTAGAAACTCCCCTGAGGAAAATTCCCCATATTGCTGGGGAAGAGATATGGTTAGAGTTCTCTGTCCCTAGAGCTATTACATTATCTGATTAAACTTGCTGTTAAATAGACCCCATTATCAAAGTCAGGATGCACAGAAACTTATACTGGGGGAGCTAATCAATCTACCATCTGACCACTCACCAGGCATCTTGATTTACAAGTCCTATAAAACTACAATATGTGATTGCAATTCAGTCTATTCCTTCTTCTCCTGCCCTCTAGGAAGCTTTCTCAGACTGAACCAGAAAAATACAACAGCTTCTCCTTGTGGGCCCCATCAGGACATAGAACTTTCTAAATTTTAACTCCTGTTATATATGCTCATCCTCCCTTTCAAATTTACAACATACTTGTTTTGAAATACAGATAATGGGCTGCATACTTTAGGGCTCCATAATTTTATTTTGTCTTTTATGTGCTTCAAGTATATTTGTTCTCTTAATCAAAGTACCCTAGATTATAACTTCCTAAAAGTGGGAACCCTCTACAAAAACTTCTTCAAAAGATTATACATCAGAGAGAAAGATGTGACAGTCCAATAACCCAGGGTTGTGGCAATGAAAATCACAGAAGCAAAGGCATTTTAGGCAAGGATAGTTGCCTGACTGGACAAGCTGGGGAAGCCCTCTGGGAGTGAGGAGGAAAGCTAATGGCAAGGTCCAAAATATCATATCCCTGACTTGAGGAAATTAGCTAGGCCCCCAGGGAGCATCAGACAAGATGAAAACAAGTCCAAACCAAGGGGTCATTGAAAAACAAGTTCCCTGGAGGCTTGGGCGAAAAGGCAAAGTAGTAGGGTTTTTTGTTTGTTTGTTTGTTTGTTTGTTGGGTGTTTTTTTTTTTTCCCCCAATTTGGGCAACCTTAAGAAATGTGTTACTTTCAGATGAAGAACTTGAACACTTACCATCTGCCGTTTGTTCTCAATGAGGTTGGATCCGATGATTCCAAGGAATGATCCGAAGCCGAGCTGTAAAACAAGGCACACATAGGATGTGGGGAAATGGTCAGCCTGACCACACAATCATTCAGCTTCTGGAAATGATTCAGATTAATGGAAAGTGACTGGGGTATAGATGCTAAACCATATGCATTCGTTACTTACACAAATAAAGTGTGTGCAATAAAAGTATTTCTCCCACCAGTTGCCAATTTTTCCTTGTACATAGGAATCACGCCTAAAAAGAAACGTATCTCCCCAAAACTAAAAGTCAACCATAGCTTTTCAGAGCCTACTAATTTCAATTTCAATATCCGTTACCTAGCATATAACTGGTGAATCAGTAAGACACATATAATGGGAAAAGCACTCATTATATTCTGATCTTTATCCTTTTCTTTTTAAAGCAACCTTCTGATCTGATGTATGAATTACAAAGTAAAGGTTTGAAATAGCAATTTTTGATGCATCTGACACACTAATAAAACCCAGGAAGTACTTTAGAAAATAGCAAGCACCTTAACCTAAACTTAAAAAAAAGAACAATTTTTTTTTAGAAGCCTGTATTTGTGGTTGACCCACTGCAATTTATGTTAGCACTTATTCACCTCCCCTTCCATCTCTTCTTAATTTATGGACAGAAAGATTCATTAAAGGATGTACAGAAATGGCAGCATAAAACCCTGAAAAACAATTTCCTTATCTAAGTGGCTAGGATGATGGTTCTGTGTAGCAGATCCCACCTTCGTCTCAGCTCTGCCATTAGTGGACTGAATCTGCCAGTCTCAGCTGAAAATGATCACTGATAGCTGTTGATGGGGGTGAAAATGAAAGGAGTAAAAAGTGGTGAGAATGGACCAATAAATCGTAACACAAGTTCAGCGATGTAGTTACATATTTCCTTAGCCTCACTAATGGTCTGAGTTTCCATCTGCAGCCTTTCCTTGACTCACAGGGGCATCTATTTCAGTCCAAGGCCCTAAACTTTACATCTAGGCTTAGAAATCAAATGGACCCATGGATTGGGCAGGAGTTTGGTGGGGCAGTGTGGGGGTACCAGGTGGTTGTCTCAGAAACCCAAGAGTGAAAGGAATGAATACAAATGTACAAAGACACACTCTGCAGGGCTACTCGGCCAGCAAACCCTCTTGGGAAATACATAGAAGCTGAAGGTCATAAGGTTGTACAGATCCCATGCCATCCAAGACTCTACTAAAAACATCCTCACTCAACAGCTAAACTATACCTATCTCCCACCTGGTCTTATTTTACAGGTAATTAAAAAGAGTTGTCCTAAAATATAGTGATTAAAACCTGGTTATTTAAAAAAAGAAAAAACCTGGTTATCAGACTAACTTGGCTTCTAACCCCAGCTTGTGTTCCATTTATATTTGTGCAATCTTGAACAAGCTGAATGACCTCTCTAAACCTCAGCTTCCTTATTTAGAAAACAGTGATTGTACGGTAGTAGTGGTCCTGTTATAGGACTTAAGGATTAACCAGGATGATACAGTCAAAGAATTTTGCACGGTGCCTGGTACATAGTAAGTACTCAGTAAACATTACTCTTCTAGTAATTATTATTATTGTTTTCAAAAAATTAACTTTTGAACAGTTCTAACCTGATTTGAGCTAGAAAATTCTACCATTATTTGCTGTGTTCCATAGTAGACTTGTGTTCTATCTCATTCGCCCTTCCAATATGCTTCACAGCTTTCATTTTTTAGGAAGAACTCGATGAATAGTATGTGCTTATTGAACTATGGGCGACTTGTGGACATTGAGAAAAAGTTGGAGGCATCTTCTTACATGGAAAATTAATGCCTTTCCTGAGTAATTCTGTTTCCTCAGATATTCACTGAATGTCTCCTGAACGCCAACAGCAGTCTGCTTTAAGATGGGAAGCAAAGACACTAGCTATTTCTGCACTCTCATATGGCTCTCTAATGGCAATGACCAGAGTGGGCTAAAGTCTCAGGGAATCGACTGGCAAGACAAGGCACTCTGGGACTGGAAATCCCAGGCAAGCCACTTACTTCATTCAGTTCCCTCACGTATCCTTCCATTCCATTCTGTTCTACCCCAACTCATCCAATTTTCTAACATTCACTGAATATTTTGTCAGATAAAATAAGTTATGGCCCTGACATCCAGGATCTCATAATCTAGTGAAGGAGATACAGACTTTGGTTTAAGGACTACAAGTATAAACATACTGTGATAGGAGCAGAGAATAATTCATTTTTTATTATATCCCTGGCTCGGTTACTTATAAATTGTGTGACCCTAGGCTAGTCTCTTCATTTTCCTCATCTAAAAAATGGGACTCATGACTTGGCCAGTTTTGCTCAGTGGGTAGTGTTGACCTGCAGACTGAAAGGTCCCAGGTTCTATTCTGGTCAAGGGCATGTACCTTGGTTGTGGGCACATCCCTAGTGAGCTGGGGGGGGGGGGGGGGAAGGGGAAGGCGGTGCAAGAGGCAGCTCATCGATGTTTCTCTCTCATTGATGTTTCTAACTCTCTATCCCTCTCCCTTCCTCTCTGTAAAAAATCAATAAAATATATTTTTTTAAAAATAAATTAAAAATGGGACTCATGCCTAGCCAGTGTGGCTCAGTGGTTGAGCATCGACCTATGAACCAAAAGGTCACGGTTCTATTCCCTGTCAAGACACATGCCCAGATTTCGTGCTCAATCTCCAGTGTGGGGCATGCTGATCAATGATTCTATCTCATAATTGATGTTTCTGTCTTTCTCTCCCACTCCCTTCTTCTCTGAAATCATAAAAATATATTTAAAATTTAAAAATGGGACTCACAATGTTATCTATAATGCATAGCTACTATGAGGATTAAATGTGATAAGGTACAGGTATACTTTTGAGATAACAACTACAATAAAGCTGATATTGCAATAAAGTGAGTTGTAATATATTTGTTGGTGGAGGTTCTTGCCTTCAATTTGTAAAACACGCAACATCTGTGAAGCATAATAAAGCAAAGTGCCATAAAATGAGATATGCCTGTGTGTAGTGTGACTTGCATAAAGGAGGCTGCTAAATACATGGTAGATCTAAGATTTCACAGAGGAGGAGGCATTTTAACATGAGCTCAAAGGATAGGTAGATTCACTAGACAGGAAAGTAATATCCTTTGAGTTCTGGCTGGAAGAATTCACTCACCTGGATGACAGGTTGATGAACTCAGCAATGTTGCTAAACTACCATACCTCTGAAAAGTATTTTAATTTTGATGAGCACTTGCCCTCCATTTTGGTCAGAGTAATGTTATGGAGTTTGGTAGTGCTCATATCATTCCCATTTGACAGAAAGGAAAATAGAGGTCTAGAGCATTATATGGACACATTCCCTCTTGTAGCAAGTTATTAAGAAAAAAGGCCAAGACCAGCCCACAGGTCCCATGAGAGTCAGGGTACTTTCAACCATGCTTTGCTGCATTTGTGTCCAGTGTTTGTAAGTATAGTGACCTTTATAGCTGCCCCCCACCCCACCCTGGGAAGAAATTCTCTCTAGGGATGGAGTGAGAAGTCCTATTTGAGGAAGAGCTGAGGGGTTGAAAGTAAAGAAGGAAAAAAAAATCAAAAGAATTTACTGAAAATGGGCAGCTGCTTCTAATCAACTGTTTGCTCTCCTGGAGCCTCAGAAAAAAAATCTCTAAAGAGAACCCTCATGCACTGTTGGTGGGAATGCAGGTTGGTGCAGCCACTGTGGAAAACATATGGAGGGGCCTCAAAAAATTAAAAATGAAACTGCCTTATGACCCAGTGATTCCACTTCTGTGAATATATCTGAAGAAACAAACCCAAAACACTAACTTGAAAGAACCTATGCACTCCTATGTTTATTGCAGTATTATTTACAATAGCCAAGATTTGGAAGTAGGCCAAACACCCATCGGTAAATGAGTGGATAAAAAAACTGTGGTACATTTACACTATAAAATGCTACTCAGCTGTCAAAGAAGGAGGAGGAAGAAGAGGAGGAGGAGGAGGAGGAGAAGGAGGAGGAAGAGGAGGAGGAAGAGGAGGAGGAAGAGGAGGAGGAGGAGGAGGAGGAGGAGGAAGAAGAGAAGGAGGAGGAGAAGAAAAATTTACCCTTTGCAAAAGCATGGCTGGACCTGGAGAGTATTTTGCTAAGTGAAATAAGCCAGTACGAGAAAGACAAATACCACATGATTTCATTTATATGTGAAATCTAATGAATAAAATAAACTAAGACAAAATAGAAATAGACTCACAGATACAGAGAACAGACTGACAGCTGTCAGAGGGGAGGATGAGTGGAGGGCTGGGTGAAAAAGGTGAAGGAATTAAGCAAAAACAAAAAAACAAATACCTCAGAGTCAGACAATAGTATGGTGATTACCAGAGGAAAAGGACGGTAGGGGTAGTAGAAGAGGGTAAAGGGGGATAAATGGTGATGGAAGGAGACCTGACTTTGGGTGGTGAACACAATACAATATACAAATGATATATTATTGAACTGTGTCCTTGAAACCTATATAATATTATTAACCATTGGAACCCCAATAAATTCAATAAAAATTAACTATTTTTTAAAAGAAAGGTAATCTCTGTAGTCACCCCCTGAGAACTACATGGATTCATGGAACATTCAGACCTTTGAACCTCCAGCTTGATTCCCTGTTACATGAACAAATAACCAGTTTGCTTTATTTTGGCTACCCTCTACTTGTAGAAGAAAAAAGATAAATCTTTAGAAATCAAAGTCAGAGTGTCAAGTGCTCTTTTGGTGCTAGACCCTATATCTTATGCCTATTTCCATCTATTGCTCCAGAGACCCAGTGCTGAAGCTCAGAGGATTAATTATCTAATACACAGACATCAATTGGACACCTACTCTGTGGCAGGCACTGTGATTTGGAGTCCAAGAGGCGGAGAGGAGTATGACACCAAGACCAAAAAGATTCAGCTTCAGGAACTGTAATTAGGTAAACTGGTCCACAATTCCTTTCCATTATCCTGAAACCCACAAAGCTCTTAAAACCAAA